CCTATATACCCTGAAATCATTTGGTTTTGAAAAGTTGGTCAGAAAGGTTTGGAAATAACATGTGGTTTATTTATCAAGAGAAAATATTTCTGATTCGACTTTGCAGATAAATCTTTGGACGACTCCTCCCACAACCCTGTCCTGAGATCCAGTGGGTTATGTATATGATAAATAGCAGCAGACACTCCTTTGGTGGTGGTCTGCTTGAATTCATGGTATCGACCCAGCAAATATTACTGTATCCCCCATTCAATAAACAGTATATTTGGTTCATAAGCTGTACACTAAGAATATATGCATTGGAATTACGCATCCAAGATCTGGTGAAACCCTAAAGTCTCTAGTCAGTGGCATTGCCACAGAGTCAGGGTCCTGGTTTTGCTAACATGCTGTGGCTCTGTGAGATGTTATCACTGGGGAAGGCTGGCTAAAGCATGTATGGGAACAATCCATACTATTTTTACAAATTGTTGTGAGTCTTACATTGCATCAGAATAAAAATTAAATGTTTTCTTTTTAGATGCAAGACAGAATCAAGGAGATCATCTAATCTGGTGGTTTTCCAGCTTGTATTTCAGCCTGGCCTCCCTCACCCTCAGCAGCAGCCCTCGGGCACCTCCTGATAATGGGAGGGCCCTGGGAAATATACCCCTTTGAAAGTGCTGACTCAATCCTTTCAGATCCCCAGAGGGGGAATCAGAACCCAAAGAAGTAAAGCACACCACTAGCTAGCAGCTATGGATAGGAACAGAGAGAGCCTGGGAGCTTTTTAGGACAGTTGCTTCTGTAAATCATCATAAGTCATAGCTGTTTAGCTAACACTGTGGTTTCCTTTGTCAGACAAGGTGAGATTAATTCGACTGGAAATGAGTGTGCTCCTGCGTTCCATTTCCATGGAGACAGAGATGAGCCGTCCTCATGGTCAGAGCAGTGCACAGGGCGGGTTGGGGTGGCGGGCTGTTTTACAGTTTACCACCCAGCATGGGGCACCTACCTGGAAAGGCCACTGTAGGGCAGAGGACAGGAACTCTGGACCCCAGAAGAAGTCCCCTTCTTCCTTGTCAATTCAGCCTCACTCCAGCTCCCTGTGAGGTCCAGAGTTGATCAACTTTCCTCTTCCTTCCTTTTCTGACTCAAGTCACTAAAGTACTATTGGAAAACCTGGGGCATCTTGGTCTTTACTTCTAAAGATAAAGTAATTATAATAATCTTGTATTTGTCTAGGAATTTTGGGGTTGCAAAGCCCTGTCTCATATGTTCCCTAAGATAAGCCCCACCGCCAGCCTATGACATAGGCAGATTGCTTTTATTTCTGCTTTATAAGTAAGTGACATGACTTGTCCAAAGTTGTTGAGTTTATATCAGGACTAGAGTCAGACCACAGGTCTCCAGAATTCTGGTAAATGTTCTTTTTGTAGGAGAGGTCGTGATTGTTGTAAAGCACCTGCATGCACTTGTATATCAACAAATAGGTATTATTGTGTTACTATTCTCATTAACATAAGTATGATTCTTGGCCACTCATGATTTTGGAGCATGAAGACTCCAACACCTGGTCATTCTCCAGACTTCTACAGGAGGTGGAAGCAATGGTTTCCTCTCTTCCTACACCTCAAAACGGTTGGACCCTGAGGGTGCCATATGGAGATCGGATGAGTAAGACTTTGATTTTCCTGAAAAGTGAAGCAGGTTGCCCATGTGCCACATCAATAGAGATCTGTGTGACAACCAACTGGCAGGACAGCCGCCCTGGAGCTAACTGGCACACCCAGGCTCCAGAGGGCTGAGGGTGAGCTGCCATGCTTTATTTATTTAGCGCCAGTTGTTGATGCCTTCTGCAGGGAAAGCTGGTGGTTTCCCTTCCCCTAGCATCCTCTTTGCCCTCCACGTGATAGGACATGCCCTTTGCTGTCAACATGGGGACTTTTAATTGATACTGACACTGTTCTGTTCCCTCAACATTCTGCCTAACATCTGGGATATTGGAAAAATTGGTGCAGTGCTCTAATGGTGGAAGGCTAAGCCCATACTCTTGAGACCATACTCATAGCTACTACTCACTAAGGAAAATAATCTCCCAAGGATGGCATTGATTTTTCACACCCTAAGAGACATTTTGAAAGTAATGTCCCAACCGTATTGCTAATCATCCACACACACCTGCACCTAGCACCCAGTAGGCACTTACTAGATACTTGACAAATGACCTTCCAAGGCAGTGGTTCTCAGTCTTCGGTGTGCCTGCCAACATGAGGATCATCTGAAGGGCTTGGTGAAACATGAAGCTGGAGGCCTCATGGGGTTTCTGATTCATTCGGTCTGGGGAGAGGCTACATAATTTCTGACAAAGTACAGGTGATGCTGCTGCGGTGTAGAGAAAACCATGGTCCTGAAGAGATTGACAAAGCTTTTCTGTAAGGGCCAAGTAGGTAATATTTTAGGTTTTGTGGGCTCTGTCATAACCCCTCAACTTTGCCATTGTAGCCACAGCAAATATGTAAATAAGCAAGCGTAGCTGTGTTCCAGTAAAACTTTATTTACAAAACAGGTGGTAGACTTGCTTAAAAAACTTTTGTATTGGGACATCTAGGTGGCTCAGTGGTTGAGAGTCTGCCTTTGGTTCAGGACTTGACCGTGGGGTCCTGGGATCCAGTCCCACATTGGGCTCTCTGCAGGAAGCCTCCCCCACTGCCTGTGTCTCTGCCTCTTTCTCTGTGTCTCTCTTGAATAAATAAAATCTTTTTTAAAAATTGTGTTGGGGTGCCTGGGTGACTCCGTTGGTTAAGTGTCTGCCTTTGGATCAAGCCCCACATCAAGGAGGGGTTGGTCCCTGCTCAGTGGGGAGTTGCTTTCTCCTCTCTCTCTGCTTCTCCCCCTCACTTGTGCACACGTGTGCTCTCTCTTTCAAATAAATAAAATCTAAAAGAAGAAGTGTTGAAAATATAAAACTTTGCTTAAAAAAATGTTAAGAGCCAGATCTCCATTCTGGATGGATATTTTTTTAAAAAAGCTCTTGGATGAGAATCTGTTAAAATGCAGATGTTGGTCAAATCCTTTTTTTTTTTTTTTCCCAAATCCTATCTCTACTGTTCACTGGCCACATGACTTTGAAGGTCACTAATGTCTCAGTAGAACAAAGATAATCATACAATGAAAAATCAGGAGAACGCTAACATTTATCAAGTCTGAGTGGCGCTTACGTGTTTAATATTCTTTATACTATTCTACATGATTGAAATATTCCAGGATTTTTAAATTAATGACTTTAAAAAGTAATTACAGGTGACTCTTGAACAACAGATTTGAACTACTTGGCTGCACATATACATGGATTTTGTACAGTACATTTATTTTCTCTCATGTTTTTCTTAACATTTTTCTCTAGCTTCATTATAAGAGTACAGTATATACTACATACAGCATGCAAAATATGTGTTAATTGACTGTTTTATGTTTTGGTAAGGCTTCCAGTCAACAGTAAGCTATCAATTTTGGGGGGAGTCACAAGTTATACATGGTTTTCAATTGTGGGGGAGTGGGTGTTGATGCCCTTAACCCCCACATTGTCCAGGGTCAACTGTATAATTCATTGGCATATGTGGCTTGGATTGTAGGTTTCAAATTTAACCAAAAGATGAATCCTCTTATAAAATCAAAATCCCCTTGAAAATTCTCTCAAATCACCAGCACCTGGGTTCTTAGAAAGTCAGAAGCCAGGAGTAGCTTTCTTTGTGTATCTTTGCATGTAAAAAACATTAGAGACTAAAGAAGTCATCAGACTCACCATGTCTGCAGTGGAGTTTTCGGTCTCATGCCCCTTCCCAAAACCACACTCTCCTCTGTTGTCTTCCTTAATTCAGTAAATGGCAGCTCTGTATTTACAACTGATTGGGCCACAAAGAATGATTCAGGAGGAGGGATTTAATAAGGGGGTGTCCTGATACAGGCTCGAGGATGAAACTGTTTTCTGTTTCAAGTAGGACATAAAGGTCTTTCTGCTCAGCCTCCTTTTGCATATTAGTGAACAGAGGTCTAAGAAGCAGATTGACCACATAAGCGTTTAGTAAGACTGACTTGTCCTCATAACAACCACATAAAATAGGTGCTATTAATTTCCCAGTTTACAGAAGAGGGAGAAAGGATAAGTTATTTGTCCAAGGTCACGCTTCTGGAAGGTGGTAGCCTTAGGATGGAATCCAGGCAGTCTGACTCCAGAGTCCATGCTCTTTGGTTACTATGCTGTATATAATGTTTATTTCCTTATCTGTAATCTGTGAATTGAAGAACAAAAATGCTACTTGAGAGAAAGCTGCCTTGTGCCTTTAGTAATTTGTCTGTTATGCTAGGGAAGGTAATGAAATTGCAGCAGGGGGCTGTGGAAAGTGTGCTTTCAGTGCATTTCCAATTTTCACCCAATTATCCTGGAGTTTGCCCATCCAAATGCATGTGATACTTTGGAAATAGTGCAGAAGCAGGAAAAGGTCTCTGTTGGTTTGGGTGCATATCTGGTCTTAATAGTGTATTGCTAAAAAACTTGCCCAAAAGGAGATCACCCCAGCTCCACTGAGCTGGATCTGTAGTCACTCAGTTCAGCTTCACAAATATACCCTGATTTTGTATCTACCATGTGCTGCAGCCTGTGCTGGGCACTGGAAGTACCATGATACTATGGTGTTTAAAACACTATGCTTTCCCTCAAATATTTTTATGACTATTGGTCCCAAAGTGACAACATTGCTGGAAACTCTGGTGTGTGCAAATTATACCTGTAAAGAGAGGAAACATGGATATTTATTGTATGGCCCCAAATGGGCAGCCTATTAACACATGATGTGGCAAAGTCTCACCACCACCCTTTCTATTATCCCAGAGAATGGCACACAGCCTTATGCTATTGAACCTTGACATGGCGAGAGGAAGTGGTGGGGCCTGACCTTGGCTTAGTCCAAAAATGTGTTCCTTTCATGACTGGAATGAACAATATGCTTCTTTTCCCCCAGGACCCCAGAAGCAAGCACAAGTTTAAAATCCACACTTATGGAAGCCCCACCTTCTGTGATCACTGTGGGTCATTGCTGTATGGACTTATCCATCAAGGAATGAAATGTGACAGTAAGTTTTCTTTTCCAGTAGATGGTGAGGCTCTGCAGCCTTTGCCCAGGGTTTACAGAGGACCTCAGTTTCAGTACCTTGTCAACTCTTCAGTAAAAAGAACTCAATCAAATAGAAACCAAAAAAGTATAGGATCGCTCTGCTGTCAAAGTACTAATTTATTAAACTACTTACTTGCCTAATTGTGAACCAAAAACAACAACAACAAAAAAAACACCACCCGATTTATAAATGAAGTTAGTGCTGTCACGGTTTTTTGTTTTGTTTTGTTTTTTGGGGTTTTTTTTGGTTGTTGGGTTTTTTTTTTTTTTTTTTTTTTTTTTTTTTTTTTTTTTTTTTTTTTTTTTTTTTTTTTTTTTTTGGTGGTAGAAATCTTCAGTCACTGTAAAATGCAGGCTAGTCAAACCCCAAAGCAAATGCCATGTGTTGAAAGAAGAGTCCCCACCTCCAGATTCCACATTTGGTTAGGCTTCAAAATAAGCGAAGCAACCATAGTCATTATCTTCCTGTGTCTCTAATTAGTGGGTGGACTGTGGAAAAATCCAGTAGGCTCTCCTTAAAACTGAAACTACGATGAAAATAAAAACCAGACATCTGAAGTACACTCACCCTGCATGTTCACAGACAGAGCAAATTCCTATTAGTCCAGTTAGAGATGAAATCACTGAAGACCACGGACAAGGCATCAGCCCCTCCATTCTCTTTTTTATTCCATATATATCATCATCAAGCACCAAGCTAGGAAGAAAAACAGCTCTGGAAACTCTCTGCTTTGATCATTCCTATGAGCTTCCTCCAGGCCACTTATTTATTTAAATAAAAGTATATACTTTTAGGACATAAAAAAAGTAATTACTAAACCCATTTTTCTAGTGGACTAGGAAGTGTTATGGAAATACCAGTATGTTGCCATTCATTGATTACTGCTCTCATGACCAAAAACTTTCTATGTGAATTCTCCATGGAGCAAAGGCAGTATGTATATAAAAATCAAGATTAAATGAACATTACAGAGTAGATGGTTAGCTTCTCAGCACACAGAGGTTCTTCACCTTAGAAAGCTGTCATGTTTAATAGCCTAAACAAAACGTTTGTGATGATCCAGGCCAGTCGTTTTCTATGTTTTGAGAAACCCTTTGGATTCCAAAGACATGATTTCCAGGGCTTCTGCAAGTGTGAATCCTAAGTGCATTTGTAAATACACTTTTAACTGTTTTAAAACCATGGAACAGAATCAAACTCTGGAATGTGTTACACACTCAAGCTTGACAAGTTGGAGGTGACAGTGGAGACATCATTGCCAGCTTCACTCATTGGGCAGACTGCGCAATCACGTTTCTCCTGTCATATCCACTTAACCCAAGAGTCTGTTAGGTTGTATGTCATTGAATAGTGTTTACCGTTTCTACATACTCTCCCATCACAGATCTATACGACTTTAGCAAAATACAGAAGTAAGTGCATTGTCAGGGCAGAACTGAGACAGCTGGTTTCAAAATTTTGTTTGGATCAGAGGGCTTTATTGGTTATCCATGAATGTCTTTGTAATAAATAAATGGTATAAATTTGAATTTATTAACTAAGTTTTTGCTGATGAAGTTAACACTCATCTGGTTTATATGTTAGGATTCCGCTTAGGATTTTGTTTGAAAAATGGATTCCATTACCAAAAATATTTTGAAAACCACTGACCTGGACCAGTGCTTTTTGTTTTGTCTCATTTTGTTTTAAGCTCTCTTCTTCGGAGTTGTAGAGCTTCTGTCCATGCTCCTTCCTCCAGGGAAGCAGATAAGCAGATTTGCACCAGCACCCCAACTTTAACTTCTGCAGAGAAGAAACCTGTCCCTATGCCTTCACACATCGCAGGGTTAGAATATTGTATACAGCTCTGCTTGGTAGGGGAAAGACGTTAGCAACCACTTGTCCAGACCAGCCTCTTAATTCACAGAGCAGGAAATGGAATCAGAGAGAGCTCTTGAGCTTCCCAAGATCTAAAAGCTGCTAATGGTAGAGCCAAGACATGAATACAACCCAGGGCACTTTCGCCTCCCATGCTCCCCCTTTGCAGAGAGGCTGGCATTAATTTCTTTGAAGTTGCAATTCTGCCCAGGCACTCAAAGATGGGAGTTGGTTGACACAAGTCCTGTCAATAGCACACCTTGTCAAGAAGCTTTTATATTGGTTGCGTCGAGGTGCATGATTTTGAACAGTTAGCTTTGGAAATAGAAACCTAAAAAGAATCCACATTTGTTAATCAGCTCGTTGTTCTTTCCTCATTGTGTCCATTAGCCTGTTTTCCGTATTGAATCATGGCAAATATACGTTATTTGCCATGTGTTTTGCCATTTACTTCACCATGTTAAGCACTCAAAATGAAATGAGCATGAAGGCTCCACCCTGAAGGCTACAGAAGAGCCTTTATGACATCCTGTTCAGGGTATGTGAGGATTCCAGTGGCCATCGCTTCTTTGGGAAGCCTGAAGGTACAAGGACAATAGAGCTGGAACACCTACACAGAGTCTTCTGTTTGTGTTCAGCACACAGGATTCTTTTCAGGGTTTCTTTGGTTCATTGCACCGAGACTGATCTTTTTATTCCTCTCTGTCTCACCCACATAGTGTCAGCTGGTAAGGAATGGCTTATCATGCCAGGCGTGTATTTGTTTTACTTAGAATAATATTTAAATATTTGAAGACAGGTTTAAAATCTAAAATACAAGTTCCTAAAAAAAAAAAAAAGACGAAAAAGAGCAATGTACTTAAGCCTTCTTGAAAATACAGAGTTAACTAAGGAAAGAAATTTTATCAATTTCCTGTACTCGCTCCACAGATTCTCAATCTCCCTGAATGGTAAGCTCAGAGGGGCATAAATTCTTTGGCAAAAAAAAAATCCTCTGTTTAAAATTTGCATGTAATTTGCCTCTGCATACATGAAATATTAATTAGCCTGTGCTCTGTATGCATTTACCTGTGTGAATTTTGTAGAGTGTTAAATATTTGAAGCAGTCACAGAAGAGCAAGCAGGGGAATTTTGCTTCAGTTAAGCCTGGACAAATATGGCATGGGTATTTTAAGGATATTGTCATTCACATGAAGCCTCTGTTATAGGGAACATCTGCTAACAGTTCTTCGTGTCACCAAAAACATGATAGCAAAGTATCGAGTTAGAGGGTAGCTCATTTTCACTTGTGCTCAGACACCAAAACACGGAGGAAGTGAGGGCTTGAGCCCATATGCGCAGCCTTACCCTTTGCTTTCATGATTCACAGCCTGTGATATGAACGTGCACAAGCAGTGTGTAATAAATGTCCCCAGCCTCTGCGGGATGGACCACACGGAGAAGAGGGGCCGGATCTACCTGAAGGCTGAGGTCACTGATGAGAAGCTCCATGTCACTGGTAAGACATGCTTGTGGACGCGTGAAGCACGCAGCTTCTCCAGGGGCGTTCGAGTCAAGGTCAGGTTGACCCCAAGGCATCATTGCCTCGGAGCCGGTCAGACTCAGAGCCATCGATTTGCCATTAACACATCTCCCCAGAGACTGCTCAGTACGCCAACTTCCCAGCTACTCAAATGCCATACAGAGTCACAACTGCCGTGTGGGTTGAGGTACTCTGACAGCATGGCCAACGTGTTGTCCCCTGGTGACAGAGGAGCAGGGAAGCCAATTAAACAAAATGCTGTTGAAGGGAGTCGGCTAGGGCAGAGGGAGGTGGAGGGATGGCCAGACGTGTTGGCGTCAGGCTGTGGTGACCTGATCAGCCCATCCTAATGATGACACTGACAGTAACTAGCCATTAGCTTATCGAGTTATGCTTCCTCTGTGTTAGGCACGGTGCTAAGAACTTAGCCATAGATAATGTGTTTAGTCTTCCCAGCTACCCAGTTGTTAGCCTCATTTTCCAGAAGAGGAAACGTAAGCATAAAGAGATCAGAAATTTGGAATGTCATAGAGCATGGAGGAGCCAGTTGGAAAAGCAGTATTTCCACTCCAGATCCTATGCTTTTAACTGTCACACCAAATACACCTCCTATAAACAGTGCAGTCGTGAGACAAGAGTTCCCTGTCCACAGGCCAGAACACTCCTTCCCCGGGGCTGTGGCTCTGTGGGCTGTGCCATAGCATGGCCTTTCCTTTGGTTTTCCCACCAAATCCACTCTCGCTAGATCAGCACACTCTGTCCAGTTGTCCAAGAGACTTGTTGGCCCGGAACACATCGTGTGTCCTGAGATACTTGGCATATCTGTGCCATGATCCACTCTTGTCAATTTATGGTTTTACGGCCCATTGTCAGTCAGTCTTGTTCCTTAGCTCTTGGGGTTCCATCATATGCTACCACATACTCTGTTTCCTTTGACAAGAGCGTTTGTTTTCATTGAATAAAGGTATTAGGTTTCCATTTGTATTTAGAAATTTTAAGCTGTCAAACACATGGGAAGACTTTATTGTTATGTATTGGCAAATAACATAAAATATTAAGGAAAAAGGATGAGCAGGATCTATTTAAGCTGGGGGGAGGGTGGCATTACTCCCCCCACTCCCCACCACCTCCCCACCCTGGTAAGAATTTAGAGAAAATCAAAGGATTTTGAGGTGTTGCTAAAAAAGGATCAACACCCTTTGCCTCTGGGTAACCTTGTGAAACAAGTGTAGCTCATGTTCAAGAGTGAATTGTGAATAGAATCCCTGTCATAGACACAGAATGCGTTTTGACTTTTTGGTTTCAGGGAAGTTCATTTCCCCAGACCTTTGCTTCTGCGTCCTTCCCTGTGGGGCTCACCTACATTTCCCTTTCACAAGACTGACACTGGAGGTGGGGTCCACTCTGTCCTCCAAGCTGGAAGCCAGGGCCTCCCTTGTGGGTACCAGAGGAAGCAGGGCTCCTCGGGGGCCCTGAGAATGTCTGTCCCACCACAGCCTTATACTTGTTCTCTTTCTACTGAGGCTCCCACCTTGCCAGAATCCTATATTGGGGGCAGGGACCATGCAGCTTAAGAGAAAATGATCAGAAAGCAGTAGGTGGTAAGGGATTTGGAGCCTAAAGTTAGAACACCTATTGGCTAAACACTGCACTGTTTTTCTTTAGCTTTATAAAGCCATTGCTGTTGGCAATATAAGAAACATCACAGGTGACCCGTCAGAGCTTAATTGTGAAGTGCATGGCTCACTGTGAGGCAAGAATGCCCCGGCAGAGTTTTTAAACATTCAGCTCTCATTCATTTTGTTTCTGAATACAGCAGAGCACACTGCATACTGGACCTGCCCCATGCTTTCTCTTGTAATAAAAGCAGCAACCATACAGTGCTGCTTGAGTTTTCTACTGTCTTCTCTGAGCCTCGAGAAGCTTGCACATGTATAAAACTGCACAGAGGGTCACAGATGCCTCGGCCAGGGTGGCACATGGTACACAGAGGAGGAAGATCAGGTCTCATCATGCAGGCCCAGCAAGGAGTGTTGTCCCAGAGCTCAGATGCTCATTGCCTCACCACTGCCAAGAGCCGAACTTGATTCAAGCCATAGAATCCTCCTAGGAGACCACACCCTTCACTGAGTTAGATATAGATTTTTAACATGTGAAAGCCAGTGAGCATAACTTATGATAAAAATCTAGGTCAAGTCTCTTGAGAATTAGTCTAAAGTGTTTTTGCATAGATACAGCTCTGCTCTAGGAATATGAGTCCAGCAAGAGTTTAATAACAGTAGCAACAGCAGCCAACATGAGTGGCCTCCACAGAAAGCGCACTTTCTGAGCATGTCGCCTAGTTAACTTCTGTAAACCTATGTGCAATATTACTTTATTATCCTTACTTAGAGATGAAGGCACAGAGAAATTACATGACTGGCCCAAAGTCAAGCAGTTGGTAAATTTAATCATTAAGTGAGTAATTGCTACGAGTAGAGATATAAGGTATTTCAATTATAGTATTGATAAGAATTGGTATCTTGTGTTAGTTCTGGCTGCTATCATAAATACTATAGACTGGGTGGCAGAAACACATTTTATTGATCACAGTTCTGGAAGCTGGGAATTCTAGGATGAAGGTGCTCTGATTTGATTCCTGGTGAGGACTCCTTTTTAGTTTGTAGATGATTGTCTGGCTGTGTCTTCACTTGGGAGATGGAAAAAGAGAGGAAGCAAGCTCTTTGGTGTATCTTCTTATAAGAGCACTAAACCCATCATGAGGGGAGCCTGTAATGACTCAACTATTTCCCCACAGCCCCCTATTCAAGGGGCCAGGGGTTCCCATCACTTTAGGGGTTAGGGGTTCAACATTATGAATTCAGGGAGGATACATAATTCAGTCCATAGCAAAACTATTTTTTAAAATATGGTTGTTATTTGTGTGAAGAAAATTTCATCTTAAGCATGGAAAGCCAAACTCAAGTTGGTAACTATTGGATAATCATCTATCTAAATTAGAACTTTGAATGTAGTAGATTTTCAGAATCAGAATTAACTTTGATGTAGTGAGAACACAAATATAAATAATAAACCATAACAAATAGAGCTTATGATCCAAATGCAAAAAAAAAAAAAAAATCAGAAGTAGTATAGGGTTCCCTTCACCCAATTCTCCTGCCCCTCAGTATTGATATTCTTCTAGAACCATAGGGTAAGTATCAAAGTAGACACATTGTTATTTACTTTATATTTTAAAGATTTTATATATTTATTGGAGAGAGAAGAGAGAGGAAGAGAGCAGGAACTGGGGTGTGGGGAGGGGCAGACCCCTGAGGAGCAGGGACTTTGATGCAGGGCTCCATCCCAGGACCCAAGGATCATGACCTGAGCCGAAGGCAGGCGCTTAACCAACTAAGCCACCCAGGCACCCCTCAAAGTAGACACATTTTTAATAGTATCTGGTAAATTTGTTTTTTTTTTTTAAAAGGTACCCGCGTACCTGTAGTTCGTCACTGGAAATTATTTTAAAGAAGCAAAGAGAAGACATCAGACTTCTCTTAATCCAGTATGAAAAGACTGCCAAGGATACAAAGCAAAGCCCCTTTGGAGCAGAAGCTGCCAGTGATGGCTCCTCCTCCTGTATTATCTGCCAAACCTCCTAACACAATGGTTCAGGCACAAATTTGTCTTGACACATATTCTAAATAACAGTAGCTACCAAGTAGTACTTGGTATGGATGTACTGTGTTTATAAGACTGGACCTTTCTTTCTGCTAAGTGCTTTCTATTCCTTGTTTCATTGACCCCTCAAACAATGCCATAAAGTGCTATTATTAGCCTCAATTTTGAGATATGCAAATGGGTTGAGAGAAAGAAAGGAAGAAATTGTTCCGGGTTCTAAGGTAGAAAGCATTGGTGTTGAAAAAAAAAAAAAGAAAGAAAGCATTGGTGTTGGAGCTTGAGTGACGCCCAGCCCCTTGCTTTCAGCCCAGAGGCTGCGAACCTTCTAATTCTCTCGTATTAATTAAAGAGACTCTTTTTGAATAAATAGCAAACCTGTATGTATTCACCAAACCCATATTCGGCACCCCACAGGTTCTTTGAAGGTACAGAAGGTCCCAATGTGAGACTTAAAACCAGGGGAGGAAAAAAAGTAACTCATGAAGGAATTAATAGCCAATCCAAGTGCATGCAAAATTAAATGCTTGATTATGTGGGTGCTAAATGGTATGCCATGGAGAGGGGCAGGTATTTGAGAGGCAGAGGGAGCAGAGTTCCAGTGAAGGACCCAGATGGAATGGCGGAATCAGCCTGGCTTTAATAAGAATGCAGGCATAAAGAGTGAACCGTAATAAGCAGAGCTTATGTCCAAATGCAAGTGATAACTTGGAAAATGCATTTAACCCCTGAGCAGCTGTGCTGATGGTTAGAGTAGTTCATCTCCATTTTACCTGTGCAGAATCACTTAAATTGAAAATAATTCCCAAAATAAAAAAGAAACTCCCAAAATTCCTGCTTTGGGACAGAAATCAGCCTTTTGAAATCAGAGATGAGTTTCCTTTCTAGATCGGTGTGGTATTTATGGGAAAGGCCTCTGCTTTGGTGATATATTTTTATTTTTTGCCTTTGGGCAGTGGTGCTGATGTTATCTGAAGAGCGTCATTTTTATTTCTTCCAATATGCGATTTTAATAGGTTTTCTACATTCCTGTGTGCTTTTTTTATTTGGTTTTTTGGAGGAGTGGTAAAAAAAAAAAATCCCTCGTGGGAACAAATTTTCAATTTAATGTTGTAAGTAAATGGAAAAAATATCATTCTTTACAGCTGCTCCAGGAACACATGTCTCCCACAAATAGATTATTCTGCAGAAGAGTCTCATTTTCTCAAATACTCAGGGTGGTTAATTTGGCGTGGAGATCGAAGTTCTCCAGCAAGTTCCGGGAGGAGGGGAGGGCTTGGGACAGGAGCTGAGGCTCCTTGCAACGGACCAGTCAC